AATCCTTACTTTCTTTTTTGTGAAAAGAAAGCAATTACTAAGACCTAACATAAAACCACAGATCAAAGTTTATTCCTTTGGAACTTTCTGACAGGCAGCTGGTCTCTCTGTTCAAAGCAAACACTCAAAGATTAGTCACCCAAATACCTATAACAGATCAAGGGGCATGCTGAGTGAACCTGCAACGCCTTTTAATTCTTTAATCTTCTAATAAAAAGGGAGATGTTTGAAGAATAATATGCATTTGATTATCAACGGGTTAGTTAAGACAACCAACGTATGACCACAGCAGATGATAGCATCTAGTGGATAATGGAAGTATCCTCCAAAGCTAAGAAGTTCTTTGGTGGGAAACCCCTAGTTGTAGACTAGATCTGACACACAGAAACACATCCTGGAAGAAGGTAATGGTAAAATATTACAATATTCCATTAAGTCTCATGCTTAAGTCTCTTAAGAATCAATCACAACCTAAGGAAGGAACCTATCTAATCTACACGAATGCAATGGCTTGGAGATTGATCAAATCCTCAGTTTGAACACCCAAGGCAAGCTGGAATTTAGTGAGTAGCAAAAATCACACCACTTCTGCAGTACGGGAAAAGATTTCAGAATATCCATCTCCTAGGATTGTCATTATGCTCCAACAAGGTAAGACATGAAAAGCATTTGAAAGGTTATATAGAAAGCTGTCTATTTTGCTGTTACAATCTCCCCCGCCCCTCCAAGAACTGGGGAAATAGTCTGGTTTATTATTAATAGAATTTAAGTCAGACAGTATTGTTAACTACGGCTTCCGAAAACATGAATCAACTGTGATTGGCTGTGTTCATACAATATGATGAATCAAAATCAAACAAACCATGCTATGGTTTTGCATGATGTGGGAAGACTACCAAAATGTCCCAGGAACAAAATGTTGGAGGATCAATTGTGCACTCTACCATTAAATTAAACCAGTGATGTCCTCTCCTCTCTTTACTCCTTGCCCACCTAGTTGTGAATCGTGATTTACATAAAAGAATAAATACCATTTGCAAAAAAAAAAAAACCTGAAGCCTGTTGCTCATACACTAGCAACTATAGCCTTACATTTAAGACTAAGAAAGCAAACTGTCATTCAATTGCCTAATTAACTTTCAAGAGAAGCCGGAATTTCTGTGCACCATTTTTGAAACGTTCCTTCAGCCTTCCTGAAGGTTGAGGCTTCCATTGTTGGTTAGGAATAATAAGCAGCGCTGATAGGAGAAAAGGATGATGATGTTGATTAGGAATCAATAACCCAATCCAAACAGAGGGTATCAAGTTGATTTTTTTTAAAAAAAAACTGCTATACTGCAGCTTCATAAATGCTCAATAGCACTATATTTGCATATTAGTCATAAAGCAAAACCAAAGAGTAGACCCAACAGCTGCTTCTACAGCCAGCAGCAAATCTGATGGGCGGCCTCTTGTCCTTTATGCAAACTTCCCCTCCTCCCCACCCTTAAGTAATTTTCTGACACACAACACGTAATCCAATTTATGGAAACCATTGCCACAAGATGCGATTACTGTGGTAGGTTTTTCTAAAAATTAACTTCGTTAAAAACACATGAAAGATTGGACGTGACTAATAAGCACAACCTGTAGAGAGAAACGCAAAAAAGCGTTTCTTTGTGCAGACACTACATTTTGAGAGCATTATTAGCCATGGACAAAAGCAAGAACAGGCCTAGGATTATGGGACGTGAAATCTAGCATAGAGAGGAAAGCTTCACATTTGACTCATAAACAGCTAATTTTTTAAAGCAACATGGACTTTTCAGCTAAGAGCCAAGCAATAATATGCATCCTCTAAGAAAAACCCAAATTACAGAATAAACCTACTTCTTGGTAAGCTAGAAAAAAGTGGGGTAGATAGCATCACCATTACATGGATTTGTAACTGGCTGACAAACAGTACTCAGCGAGTAGACCTTAATGGTACTATATCTACCTGGAAGGAAGGAAGCAGTGGGGTACCACAAGGTTCTGTCTTAGGCCCAGTACTTTCAATATTTTCATAAATGACTTCGATGAGGAAATAGAAGGGGAACTTACCAAATGTGTGGATGACACTAAGATGGCAGGAATAGTTAACACCCAAGAAGATAGGCTCAAGATCCAGATGGATCTTGACAGACAAGAACACTGGGCCATAACTAACAAAATGAAATTCAGTATAGAGAAAAGTAAGGTCCTACACTTAGGCAAGAAAAACCAAAAGTACACATATAGACTGGTTGAAACCAGGCTTAATAGCAGTAACTGTGAGAGGGATCTTGGAGTCTTAGTGAACAACCAATTAAATATGAGACAACAATGTGTGGCGGCAGCCAAAAAAGCCAATGCAATCCTAAATTGCATTAACAGAGGGATTCAATCAAGATCAAGTGAGGTACTAATATCATTCTATAAGTAAAACCACACCAAGAATACTGCATCTAGTTTTGGTCACCACACTATAAAAAGATGTTGAGACTCTAGAAAGAGGACAGAGAAGAGCAACCAAGATGATTAGGGGACTAGAGGCTAAAACATCCGATGAACAATTGAAGGAACTGGGCCTGGCTAGTCTCGTGAAGAGAAGGACCAGGGGAGACAGTTTAGCAGTCATCAAATATTTGAGGTGCTGCCACAGAGAGGAGGAGGTGGTCAAGCTATTCTCCATAGGATTGGAAGGCCGGACAGGGAATAATGGATGGAAATTGATCAAGGAGAGATTCAACCTGGAAATGAGAAATATTCTGACATTGAGAACAATCAACCAATGGAACAGCTTGCCTTCAATAGTTATGGGAGCTTCATCACTGGAGACTTTCAAGAAGAGGCTGGACTGCCATCTGTCAGAAATGATGTAGGGTATCTTGCTTGGGTGAGGGGTAAGACTAGATGACCTAATCAGATCTAGGAGGGGAAAAGCTTGCTCTGCTTCTCCATGTTATCGCAAAATTTCAGTTCTTTAAACCTTGCACTTTAATTATGATCAGTGTCTCCCTAGGCCATCCCTCCCCCCAAAAGTTAGGTCAATTACCTCCCCAACTGAAAATCTAAGCAACATATTCAATTTATGGCTGATCTAGAAAAAGTTTGCCAAGCCTTTCTTTCAAAAGGAGTTAGGTTTTCTCAGATTGCTCTATATCTTATTGTGATGCAATGAGCCAAAAGAAGAGCAAGTCAGGGTCATTTAGACACAAACTTCTTCATTCTCGAGAACCGAACAGAGTTCTTAATGTCACTGGTGCTTCAAGAAGAGTGGGTGGGTAGGGAAAACTTCTCACCCAACATCAATGTAAAGAAGATCAAAGCCCACCTGCTGCTGAAGCTAAAAAGTCCAGAGTAGAAGACCAACTGGGAGCTCTACTGTAAGTATTTATTTTTAAAAAATTCCGTTCTGCCCTTTGGTTTGGTATTTCAAAGTCTACTTATAATTAGTCACAAAACACAACCAACTGCCACTAATGGCAAAGTATCAAGGACACTTTAAACAGCAGAAAGCTTTACAATGGCAGGAGGGTACCGATCCCTTCAGCTACTTCTCTGAAGACTCTTGCAATAAAATAATGCACATCAATTTGTCAATAAAAGACAGTGTTAAAACAAGTCACAAGCCCTAAGTACCTCATCTTGTGAAAAATTAAAAGTAAGTTTCCAGTGTGCCTCACTACTGACTATGCTCTATATATTTCACGCTAGAATCTCCACACAGGTATTGACCACCCAGAGCAGTTGGCTTCTTCCAAGGGAAGCATGGTACCAATAGCAGAAGACACAAAACTGTCACTGAGAACAGCCAGTTAAAATAGAAGACCAACTTTTCTATCCATCAGAAACATGCCTGAGCACCGCATTTCCTGCCAACCTCTCAGCCTGCAGTGAAGACTTCTCCCTTTCAGCATCCAACTGATTCCATCCTTCTCATTTCAGATGCCTAAAACAACGCTATCACACCACCACCTTCCAAATCAGCAACTGTAGGAACTGTTATCCTTCAAAATGTCCAAAATGGACTCATGTCAATCGTGCTGCACCAGACCCAGTCAAGCCACTCAGAGGCACTTCAAACTGCAAGACGGACAGCAAATAAATGTAATAATTTTACATAAATAGAATGACTGTGGCAAAGGCAAGCAAGGATAGTACCAATAGTAATGGGCCCCTTGGGTGCAACCCCAAAACAACTGGAACACCACGTAAACATCATTGGCATTGACAAATTCTCCAGCAGCTAATTGCAAAAGCCGGCTGTACTCAGAACAGCTTCCATCCTGCGACGACATCTGTAACACCATCCAACATCCACCTCTGCCTATCCCAGGTCCTTGGAAAGGACTTGATAGACAAAAATGCCAAACTCAGTCTGAACATCTGGTTGACTGTGCGATAAAACCATAATAATAACAACAACAACAATTAGCCCAGATGCTTAGGAATTCTGTTCAAGATGCTTAAAATCTTTCAAGCCGATGTGGGATAACTTTCCCAAAATGGTAAAGGTTTATTCATTCATTCATCCAATTTAAAGATTCATTCACAGAACAGGTTGGAACAGTCATTCGCTCATTCATTGATGTTTAATTCAGTTCTCAAAGTTGCCAAGAAAGAGCGAGAGGGTCTTCCATCTAACATACACCAGAAAATTTTCTCAAGCAGTGATGATACCCATCCTCGATAAAAAGACAGTCCTTCTTCCCACAAACCATGAATTAACCAGCACCAACTACCTTTCAGACATCACGCTACTGAAAGGAACTCCAGAGCTCACAAAGAGGTGGTTAAAAAAGCAATAATTTCAGAAAATGAAACCAACAGAGAATTTTTAAAAAGGAAGATCTGCTTCCTCGTGATTAAAGACCATACATAAATAAATAAAAATAAATAGAAGGAAATTAGTTTTGCGAGAGGGGTCATGTGCCTTTTTGTTCCTCAATCAATGGCTGAAGCTCAATGACAGAAGATGGAAAAAAACAAAACCTTACCGTTCCTTCAGAAGTAATGTTCTCAGCTAGATCTGTCAGAAAATCCATTTCTTCTTCCATTTTTATTTCCAGAGAGTCTGCAGGAAAAAAAGGGGAGAGAGGGAGGGAGGGAGGGAGAGAAAGAGAGAGAGAGGGAGGGAGAGGGAGAGAGCTCATGTGTCTTAATAATTGCTCCAGTGCATCAGGGTTAAAACAGCCTAGATGGTGTCCCTTCCATTTCTGCCTACCCATGAAGGTTTCCTTTGAGGTCATTCTGTAACTTCCTAATTCTTCCTACCCCACCCCACTCTGCACACCCCAACCTGGCCCAGATAGAGCTGGTCTCTGCATATCGCCTTTACATCACCTGCTGCATTCCTGCCCAAGCTGCAGTGTTTGGTTCATCTGATGTCATTCTGAAACATCTCTGCTTTTCTCAGCCAAACAGGAACACCAAGAAGTGACAGAGACAGACAGACAGACAGACACCAACCACTTCAAACTAGAATTGGGAAGGCAGGGGAGGAAAGTTGAGTTGCTTCCTTCACTACCACCCTTAAACCTGATGTTTCAGTTGAGCTCTAAGGCAGGGGTGTCCAACCTTGACAACTTTTAAGACTTGTGGAGTTCAATTCCCAGAATTCCTCAGCCAGGAATTCTGGGAGTTGAAGTCCACAGGTCTTAAAGTTGTCAAGGTTGGAGACCCCTGCTCTAAGGACTATATATTTCAAGTGATTTCAAAACTTTTTAAATAGCCAAAGCTTTCTGATTCAATAAGATGGATCATCTCATTGTAGGAAGGTGGGCTCTAAATCTATTGAAAAAAAACAGGAAACACTTATTTATTTTCTAATTTTCACTGAGACTTAGGTTTGTTTAACTTCTTTAAAGACCAAAGGGATACTAAGAAAGGGGAATTAAGCCACAGGAAAGCCACAATTCATACTTGCAGGTAAATCCATGCTGTCAGACAACATTTTGGGTGATAAAGGCACTCTGTGTAACTTTTGCTCACAGAAAGCAAACATTTTCCTTTCTTAATCTTTTTTCCTGATACATTAATTTTCTATGTGTTGAGAAGTATATTGGTAACAGCATTAAAAATGCTTCACCGTTTCATACTGATCTGGCTAACTAATTCACCTTGAGCCATTGGCATTTCTGCTGCATGTTGAGCACAATTTTTAAGGTGCCACTCATAGGCAAAGAGTTGGTTGCAGAAAATGTAGGGAGAGAATAATTTCCTTGCAACCTCTGAAAAACCAAAGGGAAGAACATTCTCTGTGGGACTCCAACTCATATCAATTTCAACCAGTACAAGCAGCCAATCGCAGCCACAGAGCATCTTCTGATGTAAGGAATGAGTATCTAAGAGACATATCTCATATCTAAGAGAACTGGTGCCAATTATACTGGTCTACAAGGATCACTGGTCACATCCACACAAAATAGGTCAAGCTCTTCCAAAGTGGCATCTTCCAGATGTGTTGGGAATGCAACTCCCAGAATTCTCCAGCCAGCATCGTCTTGCTGGGCACTCGGGAAATGGCAGCTCCAACACATCTGGAGGGCACCAAGTTGCATGAAATTGGACAAACCTGAAATCAATAACATCAGGCCAGATGATCTTCTGGTCTGGCAGTTGTCATATGTTTACAATATCATTTCTATGGAAACCAAACTACAGACGTTTGTACACAGATGAAATGTTTTTGTAGTTTCCATTTATCATGTTATACTTCAGGAAATAATCACTTTGCTAGCGATTCGGTAACATTGGTTTACTTAATATCTGTGAGCTAATATCTTCTGCAAAGCACTCAAAAAAGCACTCATCAACTCCCTAAGATTTAGAAAATATTAAACAACTAGCAAGGAGGTGGTAGATTTGGGACCTAATAAGCAAAATCAATTTACATTTCAAACAACATTTAGGAGTTTGGAACAAGCAGGCACTTCATTTCTGTCTTGCATTTCCCTCGTGTAGCGAAAGGGGGGCGGATTTGCAAGGGAAGCTACTTTAGATGATCCAGAACAACATTTTTGGCAGCTCTTAACAGCATCAGCAACAACGGTTGGAGGAGAAAAAGGTGGGACTTGAGAATCGAGGGTGGGGAAAAAGAATGAGTTTTTTAGCCTGTGTGTTTGTTTTGGTGCAAGAGTGGCTACGTCTCTTCAAAGTCACAGGGGAGCATGCCTTGGCGAGAAAAAACAAGCTTAGCTTGAGCTCAGAACAAACAATGCATGGAGAGAGAGAGAGAGAGAGAGAGAGAGAGAGAGAGAGAGATTGCAAGCAAACTAAAAAGGGGTGGGTTTGATTCGACATCCCCGCGGGAGAGAAGGGGAGACAACACCCTGGGCAATTCAAGGCAGCCACTCACTTCTTTTCCATTTCATGCAATGTCTTTCTTGCTACAGAATCTCCCTCGGTGAACAGACCCACACACAACTTAGGACTATTTTCCTTGCTCCCATCTTGAGGTCTCCGCATACACACACACACACCTTTCTCAGTTGGCTCCTGACACTCCCCACAGGCTCTCTCTTGCTCCTTGAGGCCATTTCTAGTACCTAGATACATGTGGACAGAAACAACTCAAGTTTGCCGTGTTCCGGGCACGGTGGAGACTCCCGTTTAAATCCTGTTTCTCCAGTTGCTCTAGAGCTTTCCTGAACTACGCAGTCAAAGCATTGCGGCTGGCAGCAGGTGCAAAGCAGGAAGTGCGCCTTAATTACAGGTGCCCTTTCCCAGCCCCTCCCCTGCGCCTTCAGTTTTAGCCTTCTTCACATACTATTCAGCGCAAAGCAGATTTGAGGCCAAAGCCGCTTCCAGCAAACACCACCCGGCAGTCCCACTGCAGATCTAACTCGCTCTCATGTTACAAAATCCAACAGCGAGACTTTTTCCAACTGGCCAGCCTTTCTTTTCTTTTTCTTTTTTCTTTTTTTGATAAATTTTCCATTAATTGCATTTCTTAGTGCTTAATAAACATCGTGTTGTCTGGGTATTTCATCTGCCTAGCAATACAAATGCCGTTCTTACTCTCCATCCCTTTTTTTCCCAGCCACTGGTAAAATAAGTTCCATCTTTGATAAATACTCTGTGTCTTCAGCAGGCCAGCCTTTCTGATGACATCTAAAAAGTTTAGACTGCTTTTTTTTTAAAACGCAAAACAGAGGGTTTTTAATAACCATCAGGGAGACAAACAACAAGCTCAGAAGACAAAACCTCTGCCTACTAAGGTTATGTTTTTTTTTTGTTTAAGTTGGCTGTTCATCTGTTGTGCAAACCGGGCTTCTCTCCTTCTTTCTGGGGGCCGGAGTTTTGACTAAATGGCCGGTGTGAGGGAATAAAATCAGGAGGCTGCCACTGAAGTCCAAAAGGAGAGATCAACCTCAGCTTCGCCAGGATCGCATGACGCCGCCCCCGCTCCACCCTATGAGATCAAAATATCAAGCCACTGTAGGCCACAAAAATAAAATGGAGCTCGCTGGACGCCAAATCCTGTCAAGTGAAGCCTGAGAGCAGCTGTTATATATATTTTTTTTTTTCTTTTCCAGGCTGAAGGGTGCCCCTTCCAGTTTTCTTCTTGTGAAAAAAGACATTCTTGCACACGCCCTGCCTCCGTTAGTCCCCAAACAGCAAGGGCTCCCCCAGCTTTTCCTTCTATTTGAAGTTCATCTTGGGATGACAGGAAAAACAACGGGGGGGCGGGGGGGAGGCAGAATTCTCCGTGTTGTGTTTTAGAAAAGAGAGCAAGAGAGAGCATCCAACATTGGTTCAATCTGTCATGTTTGTTCAGTTTTAACTTAGGAGAAATTTGCTGGTACTAATTTTCAGCAGATCAAACATAACTGGGGGAAGGAAGAGAGCCTCAGCACCTGCGATTCCTCAGGGCAAGCCACATAATAGCAGCAGGGAGAGATCAGCTGTTTTCTTTTTCTTTCTTTCTTTTTTTTTTAAACAGCTGTCTGAACAGGTGGAGCCATGAAAGCTTGCATTAAACTATCATTAAGCCTTGCCAACAATTATGCCTCTAGGTTTATAGCTCAGATGGAGGGGGGGGGGGAAGAAAGGCCTTTCCATCATTTCCCTTCCTTGCTCTTACCTTTAAAAAACACAAAAAAAAAGCAATGAAAACAATATGCTCTTAGCAACTCCTGTTACAGAAGAGGCAAAATGGTTTTAAGAAGGAGTTCAACCGGTCTGGCTTGATCCTTCAGGTCCTCGCTTGTCAATGTTGCTCTCGCGCTAAGCAAACTCCTTCGTCCTGGCCTTTGTTTTCTCAAGTCGGAAATAAAGGCTCAAAGAAGCCCAGCAAATACACACACACAGAGACAGACAGACAGACACACACACACACATATATATACAGATACACATACATATAAGAAGAGTGGGTACCCTACTCGGGAAAGATTTTGCAAAAGCAGAAATTGGACCGAGTTTTTAAAAATTAAGTTAGCTTTCCTGTGACCTCAAACTACATTTGGATCCAGGCCATATCTTGGAAAGCCGTTTTTAGAACTTGAGCAGCTGATAGGCAGAAGTTTTACCCACAGCTCAGTGGTCTTCTCTGACTATGAAAAGCCGTCATGAAACATTGGAAATCTAGCACCAAGTAAGGCACCTGTTCTGGAAGGAAGTCTCCCTTCGTGCAACGTATCTTTCAAACTCCTTCTTAAACAGGTACTTTGTAGGGTAGAACCATGCACCTTGATGACAATTTAGAAGGGAAGGTGTCAACAGAAAAGGGGTCAAGTGTAAAGCAGGTGTGTGCTTCAAGCGACTGACAGCCTGACATTTAGTTGTGCAAAAGGGGGAAACACAAGTTGGGGCAACCAGGCTACCACCTATGGATTTCCCAAACCAAGAAATAGGGAGCTTGCTTGCTTTTCTCTTCTGCACCTTCTTTTCAGATTTGTTAGATACTTTCAACAAACAGATACACCTTCCCTCCAATACCCTCATTTGTCATCCACAAATCACAACTCCAAACCCCCTTCTGCTGGCCTAGAGAAGAAAACTGAATCACACCTTTTTTTTATTTTTCATTTTCTTACCTGCAACAGGCGAAGAGCTGGTTAGTTCCAGGGTTGCAGAGTTCATTTTGCTTCCAGGAGGTACACTGAACTCCTCTTTCACTCCATTAAGCAGACATCCAGGCTCGGAGCTGGCTTCCACCAAGGAGGGGACTTCCACGGGATTTCCACCAAGAGATTCTACCGGGACATGTGATTCTGCCGGCAATATCACTTGACTGGGCATTGGGTCAGCATTATCCGACGAATGATCAGGTTCCTGAGCAGTTCCTTTCGTTCCAACTTTGTCCAACTGCTTGGTCACAGGAAGAGCGTCGAGAGGCAAGGGAAGGGATCCTGGTTCGTCTTGGCTAGTCCTTCTCCCCTTCCCTTCCTCCGACTCTCCCAGCTTCGTAACATCCATTTCACAAGCCAACAAAGGCATTTCAGGACCGGAATCACAGTCACAAAGGGGCTCTTCAGCAATTGGCTGAAGCAATATTCGGGAAGGGATATTTTCCACTTCCCCCTCTTCCTCTCCGTGCTGTGAAAGACCACTTTCCATGGCCAGTTCAAGAGCCGTCGGAGGAGCTTCCATCACATCCAAGGTTTTGCCAGCTGGAGAGGCTGCCTGCCCAGTTGGACCAAGCTCAAGTCCCGGGTTTAGCATGATCTCAGGGGAAGGAGTCCCCCTGTCACAAAGAGAAGCACCTTTTGCCAAGCCAGGCTCAGAAGGAACATCTCTGACCGCCTCTGCCTTTACTTGCTCCTCAGGTTCCAGACTGGAGGCTTTTTCCTTTAAGCCAGGCTCAGCATTGCTTCCATCCACCGGCTGCTCTTTACCCAGATCACAAGGAGTCAATTGCACAAGGACTCCCGGAGGGAAGCTCTCCAACAGAGCCTGCGTCTTGCCAAGCAGTTCCTTCTCGCTTTCTGGCAGCTGTGAAGAGCTGTGCTCTTTGTCTTCTTCTTCCCAGCCAACTGCCAGAGTGAGAGACGTGGCTGCCAGCTCACCTTGCACTGGGCTTCCCTGTTCAGCCACTCCAGTCAGCCGCACTGCTGCTTCTGCTGCCTCTGCTGTTATTGTTGTTCCTACTTCCTCGTTTTGTTTGGAGTCTTGATTAAGAGCAGCAGAGGGTGTGCCCATTAAATGCTCCTGAATAAATTGGGTGCCCTCACCACACAAAGATAGGGCAAGGCTCTCCAATTGTGAAGGAGCTTCCTGGCCAACAGAGGCTGCTCTAGCATTGTCCTTCTGTGAAACAATCAACTGAGCCTCCTGAATAGCTTTCTCAACCAGCAAGGCTGATGTCAGAGCTATGCATTTTTGGAGGCTTTCACTAGATTGATCCAGTTCCTCTTTGCTTCCTATCATCTCTGCTGGTCCGCAAAGGGGCTCCTCAAGATCAGAGGGCGGCATAAGAGAGTTGAGAATACCTGTATGTGATTCAGGGCCATCAACTGGATCTGCGTGCAGTACAGAAGAATTGAACTCTTGGTCTTTGCCAAAATCCTGTTTTTCATCCTCGTTTGCAACCTTGGTAGGATCAGCATTTCCTTTAGTCTCTAATAATGTCGGGTCAGTTACTTTTTGCTCACTCTGATCTATCGCTGTAGTGTCTGGGATATCAGTTCCACCACAGGCAGCCAGGGACTGCACACATGTTGAGCTCTTCGTGAGGTTTCCGACGTTGCCATCTAGGGGAGCACTCAACCCTTTGCTGCTCAAATCCAAAGCACTGTTTTCAGTAGCCATGTCTGCATCTCTCCGTTGCCCTTGATCAATCACTTCCCTAGCAGAACGATGCTCCAGAGAAAATCCAGAGGTGTCTTCAAGGTTTTTGGACAACAGTTCTATACCAGAGTTTGGAGCAATGTTCTCCTTCTCCTTCTCCTCTAACTGTTTTTCGACAGTGTTTCTTGGTCCACTGTTGATGTGATTTTCAGCTCCGGTCTCTTTGTTCCTTCCATTGTCAACAGAACTAACATCTGCAATAGCAACCACATCTACAAGACCTTCTGGCACCACGGTTGGCTCATTCTCATCTTGACAGGCAAGAGTAGGGTCACCATCCCTGAGGAAGAAGGCAGCAGGATTGGTTTGTGATGCAACAGATGATGGCAATGCTTCCATAGCTGTCATCCTGGAAGGCTCCACACCCATTTTCACATTTTCCATATACGGTTGGGACGCCACGTTAACGTCTATGGCCCCTGTGCAGCTCTTGCATTCACCTTGCCCCATATTTATGTTGCTGGCCTCGCAGGAAGCTGGGGGTGTATTTTCAATTTCAGCCAGCTGCACTTCCTGGGAGAGATTATTTTCTTCACATAAGGTCCCTTGTTCCAAAGTAGCACTGGAAGAGCTCATTCCAGCTTCCTTGTCGGTACTTCCAAAGGATGGGAGGCCAGCAGCATCACTAAAGGTCCTCTTGCTATCCTGCTCTTCGAACACTGCCCCAACAGAGTCTCCAACAGAGGATAAACACTCCCCTTCCTCTTTGTGTGGCAATGTTTCGCCTTGGCAGGAAGTCCTTTGGTTCTGCATTTCCTCCAACATCTCTTGTGATGCGCCTAAAAGCTCTTCTGGTTGCTGGGAGGTGCCTTGCCCTCCAAGGCAAACAGGGGGAGAGATCTCTAGAAGATCAGAAGAAGTTTTCTGAGTTGCGTCAACCAGCAATGCATCCAACCCATGTTCTGCAGCAGCTTCAGAACCTTCAGGCACAGGCCCCACATCACAGTCCTCGCAGGTCTGCACTGGACAACGGTCTTCCTTCACATTCTAGAAGAAGAGAACATTCTTATTATTTTTTATTAAAAAGCGGGGAGGCAGTTGCAATGTACCTTTTCCTTTTGAAAATCCAAATATAAGAAGCAGTTAAGATGGTATTTTGGGGTTTGTTTTTGTTTTTTTTAACCCCAAGTAGTTAAGTTACTTTCTTCTCCAGCATTGTTGGCTGGAGACTCAATCTTGGTGGGAGGAAAAGACCACAATACAGGTAGTCCTCAACTTATGGCCAGAACTGAGCCCAAAATTTCTGTTGTTAAATGAGATGTTTGTTGAGCTTTGCCCCATTTTACGATCTTTCATTTAAAAAAAGTTGTTAAGTGGATGACTGCAGTTGGTAAGTTAGTAACATGGTTGTAGAGTGAATCTGGCTTCCCCTTTGACTTTGTTCATGAGAGGGTCATGCAAAGAGATCCCATGACTTTGGGACACAGCAATGGTCATAAGTATGAACCAGCTGCCAAGCATCTGAATGTTGATCACATGATCATGAGGATGCTGCAAAGGTTGTAACTGTGAAAAATGGTCCTAAAGTCACCAATGTCGTTGTAACTTTGAACAGTTGGTAAAAGAACTGTTGTAAGTCGAGGACTACCTGTATAGATACACCCATCCATCACCACGTTCCTTGCTGCTTTTGAGTCCCAGACTGCCACAGAGGGGAAGCGGGGGAGGAGTGGCTTTGAAAACTGCCACCTCCTATACTCTAACAGGAAGGGTTTTTTTTTCACTTTCACCTGACTCACAATCACCCTTTCCTCTGTTCCAATTCCAAGCAAGTTTTGTTGCCTTCAGCTTCTGGCAACTCTCCTTACCTGAATTCTTTAGATAGATTCCACTAATAATTGACTAGACTAGACCAGCCTTACCTGACCAGGTACTCTTCCAGTGGGTTGGGATAGCATCTCCCATGCTGGCAGGGAATTCTTAGAATTGCAAAGCGCCTATCTCTCTCCTCTCCTCTCCTCTCCTCTCCCTCTCTCTTCTCCCCCTCTCACTCTCCCTATCTCTTTCTCTCTTTCTTTCTCTCTCTCTCTCTACCCTCTTTCTCTCTCTCTCTCTCTATCCTCTCTTCCTTCCTTTCTCTCAATACTAATCCAGGAGAGGCCATTTTGCATGCATTTTGAAATGAGGTCCAGGGTCAGATGAAGGTCTTGGATGACCAATTTTGCTGGGCGTGAGCTCAGACCTCCTATGTCCATATTCAGGGGGGTGGGGGAAACCCTAAATGCTGATCCATCCAAACACCCTCAATCCCAACTGAGCCTCAAATAAAGGAAGCTGCTGAAGCCCAACCAGAAGGAAAGGCTTTGGCTGGGAATCAGCCAGCAGCAGCAGATGCAGACACAAACACTTGTGCTGGAACACAGAGTGACTGGGGGAAGGGAGAAAGGGGAGGAATGAGAGAAAATGAGAGGGGGAGAGAATATGAAGATTTTTCTGCCATCCTCTCAGTGAAGTCATTCTGGTTCCCTAAACTGAAAAAGACAGGTCCTTCTCCCCCAGGAAGTGAAGTGCCTTTCAGCTAACCCTGACCGGACTAAAACTGAAATCATTAAAGGCTCTGGCCCAGATTCAAATTAGATTAGATGTGAAACAAACCAGGTCTCTTGATAGAAGGCCGTCTAAACATAGCTTTTCCGACTGGTGACACGTGACTGTATCCCCTCCAGTGCCCTTTGCTATCAGCTAATACCCAAACAAGACTTTTAATGGTTCTGTTTCACTCCTGTTGCCTGAGCAATGTGGGAACCTAAGCAACACATTAAAAATATACTGAGACTTTATTCACACCCTGCACTGAATCCAGAATAGTCAAACACAATTTCGGTGTTCATGTAGCATGCTTTATCCAAATGTATAATAAGATAACCTGGTTCACGCAGCATACTAAGGCCATAGCTGAGTTGCTACAATACACTTAATGCTACCCAACCACATCTTAACTTACAAGCAAAGCTCCACTCTATGTTATTTCCAGCATTTGGTGAACTCTAGAAGGTCTCAGGGGAAGTCTATGTGGTAAAACCTGAAGTACTGCTTAGGGAGTTGATGAAATCTCTGGCCTGTGAGCCTTAGGTGGCCCATAAGTTATCCCTGTGCAAGCCACCCACTCCGCAAACATCTGCTTCTTCTAGATCAGTTGACAGTCCAATTTGCATTCCGAAAGTCAAACTGCACCCTTTCTTTCAAAACGTAAAGACTTGGAGCAATCAGAATGAGAACGTGTCACATAGAAGGATGGGGAGGGGTCAACCTAGTCTCTAAAACACCTGAAAGCAGGAGAAGAAGCAATGGATGGAAAGTGATCTAGGAGAGAAGCAACCAAGAACTAAGGAGAAATTTCTTGACAGAACTATCAATCGATGGAACAACTTGGCTCCAGGTGGTGGGTAATCCAACACTGGAGGTAATTTAATAAAAGACTTATCTGAAATGGTATAGGGTTTCCTGCCTGAACAGAGGGTTGGACAAGAAACCCCCCAAGGTCCCTTCCAACTCTGTTATTCTGTCATGTCTCCAAGCATAATTTCGTCCTTGAACCAAAGCCTCCTATCTTTATGCTAGAATTCTATGGGACTGAAAGGTTACCAATGACGTTCTAGTATTAGTCCTATGTTTTTAGCTCCTTCGCTCCAGAAGTTAAAATAAGTTACTGTCATTCACCATCACTTCTTCCACCCTTGGCCCCTCCAATACCATCACTGTTTTCTCATGATTATTTATATTTACACCCGAGACCCTTTAATTGAATTTGAGGGGCAGTATATGGGGATCCCAGATGGCTATTCCTTCACCAACCTAGACCCATGCTGATTATCACTTGTCTTCAATAATTCCTCCATTTGGGGGTTACTTCCTGCAGTATATACACATTTTGACTGTAAGTTCCCCCTCCAGGGCATTCTCCTCCCAACTGTATTATTTACATGCATATCGTGCAACCACAGAAATAACAAGCAGGGATCATTAAACATTCACAGATGCTTTTCCTAGCATTGTATTCCACTCCCCATCTCATTAATCTGTTCACATGTGATCCATATTCACAGCAATCAAGGATCCTCAATTGTGATATCTGGGAGTGTTTAGGTCGGCTGTCAGAAGCAGACTGTTATCTCAAAGCAACTTATTCTCAGGAGATTATAAAGAATAACACAATAAAAATGTATTCTTATTATAATCAAAACCAAACCTGTAATCCTATCAAGTTTTTAAAAATAACAGTATGGTACTTATCAAGCCACAAGACCATGACAAATTAGAATTATTTAGAATCCAGCTCAGTTAAACCAATGAGTTAAGACAGGCCCTTTCCCTCACCATACGCTGGAGATTCTGGATGTGCAGCTGGAGCTGAGCGATGTCTTTCTCCATGTTCAATTTGTCTCCTTCCTTCATTTCAGTTGTCAGAGTGTAAAGGTTTAAGCCCTGATGGTACTTGATGCAGGAGTCCCCAGAATGTACTATATGCGACAAGGTGCTCCAGGAATCTGGTTCATTGACTTCTTCTCTGGAAAAGACATGCACAACCGAACTCTCAAATTCACAAAGTTTGAATTTGCTACAAAAGGCTGCATCCCAACTGGAGCTGATTATTAACAATTCATCAACCATTTGGGCAGCGCTCTAGAATTTGAGAAATGATATCCAGTTGAAGATATTTAGGTGTATTTGACAAAAGTAATCTATAACAGATGTGGGAAGAGTGAAGAGCAGGAGCTACTAACAAATCTTTAGGTGAACTTCTACAGAAGCAATCAAATTTCAGTTTACAGGTCTAGACAACAGAAGACAAAAAAAATACTTAGGTTCTTTCTCAGATGTGATGATGATAATGATGATGTCAACTCCTTGCCAACTCCTTCTTCCATCAAGTTTTATGACCTCTCAATCTAGCCTATAACATTCCCAAGAGGTCCCTGTTCAAATTCTAACCAGAGCAAAATTATTTTTACAGCTAAGATAATACATTTCCCTCCTTCACATCAGCATCTTTGGAAGAGAACTACTTTTGAAACCAATACATCAGATGTGATACAATATACCAAAGCCTTGGCTGAGATGAATGTCCCACAGCAAAGACATACACACACTAAATGTCCCCCCCCCCCCAATCAAACAAGAAATCTGAAAGTTCTTTGGTCTCAGAGATACAGCTCCCATTACTACCTAACCAAGTTCACAATCAACAGCAAAGTCATGAGAATAATACTTATAAAAACTGTTCTAGATTTAAGATTCCTATAGGCAGGAATTTATATTCAATTGTGCTCTCTGGACTCTCTACTAACTGTACCATTGTTATCATAAACAAGGATACTCTTCTCTGGGAATCTGGGTCAGAATGAACTTGGCAATTAGCCTTCTGCTCTAAAATGAAGGACCAGGTTGCTCTAATTCGGAGCAACTGATAGATTCATTGCCTAAAGAAGCCAGCAACTTTCTTTTTGGTTGCTAATTTCAGGAAAAAAACTGAAATTACCTTACTCTCAATGCAACAAAATGCAGTTAGTCCCCCCAATGAATGACATCAAGCAAAACGCCCTAGGTTAAAACACCTTGCAAAATTATGTGTTTTAGAAAAGAGAGAAAATTTAATTGGATGGGGGAAAAGAAGTATTTCCTTAAAGTTCTTTTGAACTGGAGTTGACAACTTTCTTGTAGTTCAAGACCACCTATTAAATACATATTTCCAACTGTTGTTTGGAACTCTGGGGAAAAGAGGTGAAATAAGAGCCTTAAACCGTGAAGCTCTTTAAAATTTCCCCAAATGAGAACATTTTTTTTCTATCAAAGAGGTTTGGGGTCTTTAGTAGCAGAAATGAGGGCTCTTGTGTAATATATTGATATCTGATATTGCTCCTAAAACCATTCCTGTCTCCTAGTAAAGCACAATAGTTAGATACTATCTTATGCTGTGCACCCAGGAGCTATGTGCAGTCCCAAAGTTGTCCACCTTTTCTTAGAGCTTTTTCAGGTCTACCAACATTATACTGAATGGCAAAACACTTGCAAGCATTTAAATCAAGTGATTTAAAACATCGCTTGACTGGTTGACTTGCAGACAGAAAAAAGACCATCAGGAAAGTTGTAAGACAAAAAAAATGACCTCTCTTAAGTAGTCAATTAGCTCAGCATTGGTATATTGGCCAGTTATATCAGCCCTGAGTTTCCAGTCCTAACTGGAGCAGTCTCTAGAAACCAAGGAGGAAGTGACTCAAGCCAAACAGATCCTTGTCTGGATGGATGACTGTTTAGGAATCACCATAAGAGGCAAGAGATAAATGCACAAAGCCAAAAAGCCAAAAAGCTTAATCAATACCAATGGTCCTTACTTGGTCAAGATGTGGTGCAGTTTCTGGTAGCCCCTCTCCAAGGCTAAGCTCACCGGTGTGGCTCCTTCACTGTTGGGAATGGTCACGGCGCTTCTGCCACCTGGTTGCTTCAACAGAAACCATGTCAGCCGCAGCAAACCGAGTCTGGCTGCAAAATGCAGCAACGTCTCCCGGGGAACATTTTCTGAGAAACCAAAGCAGAATAGAAGAAGGGCTTCAGCTGACATTCAGAGCGTGCCTCAAAACTTCCCACTAGATGCTGTCTCATTTGGAGCATGAGAGTTTAACACCTCAGCCAGGGTTCACAGTGAACCCTGATATGAGACTGGATTTCCCCAACTGGGGGGGCGGGGGGGGAACACGACAGAGCTGAGGTGATTGATTCAAACTCAGAGAGTACATGAATGATCAGACCTGTGGCTCCTCATTTTCTTTCCATTGTCATTCTTCATTTCCACCACCATTTACAGAAGAGTAGCATCTAGCAAGGTGATCTGTTCAGTATCAAACAGCGCCCTCTGTCTACCATTTACCTCCTTCTCAAAGCAATTAACTCAGCTTCCAGCTTCAAACTATTTCCAACTTCATCATCACACCCAGCTTTGCTAGTCAGGAGGGAGTGGGGGTCATACAGCACAGGAAACCTTCAGTCACCCCAACAGCTTCTATGATTTCAGCCAATGTGACTCACGTATCCTCATTTTGCAGCCCTGGGGACTAGGAGCTGCCTCTTGTCATCCTAAAATGAAATCTGAGATCTCTGAAGAAGCTCAAACCTTGTACATCACAGAAGCCCTATGAATAGTAGCCAGGTTGTGGTTTTTTTAAGTTAAAAAGAAAATATAAAGCACTGCTTGTGACCAATTTGCACTAAAATCATTTTGTTGATTCGTTCTTGGAAGACAAGTCTATTCTTGTTTTTTCTTGTTAAATCCCCTTGGCCATTTTGAGCAGCATTTCATCAAGAGTAATAAGTAAATTAGAAAGCAAAGCAACATATTACATGATTTGGGATACATGGTATGAGTGGTTAGAGAATAGATGTAAAGACTATAGATAAAGGTGACTTAAGAGCAACAGGAATTACATATATGTAGATATTTGTGAAAAGGCGAAATATATATGTAAGAATATTATGATAATTATAAGAATAGTATATAAAGAGGAAAGGAAGAAAAATGAAAATACTAATATGTAATATCGATACTGAAACGCTGTAAATATTGGGAATGAGGTGTAAATGTTGGAAAATATGCAATAAAAATAAAATAAACAAATAGAAAGTGTTTCTCGTCTTTTTCCCCCACCCCCAGATTTTTTTTTATTCTCAAAATTCACTCGAGAGAGTTAACTTCTCCTTCCTGGCGTACATCTGTCAACCCTATTTTATGCATAAAAATTAAAAACAGACAAAATTGGGGCCGAGAACTGGCAGCTGAGTGACTGTACAGAAGGAAAGGAGGGCTCCCCCTCCTAGAAAATGTCTAAATGGCATCAATGTGTTGGTGCCTATATATGCTCCATTAGAAAGCAATACTGTTATTGCTTTGAGTTAAGTAACATGTAAATTTAAGTTGCCCTTACGAGTCAAAAGAGCTGCAGGACCGTCCAGTGCTAAATATATCTGGATTAAATTTTGGCAGGAAGACAATATGGCCTCAGCTTGGTATCAGCTAAGAAGGACTTAATGCTCAGAGTTGGCCTTAAAGCCATTCTAGAGCTGTTCAGAGAAAGGGCTGAATAATTGGGGAAAATGAGAATAAGACTTGTCTTCCAAGAATGACTGATTGATTGATTTCATTGCATTTATATGCCCCTGCAATCATCAGTGAATCCGTAGTGTCCACAATAAAAAAAAACACCAGTACAAAAACAACCAGAGTGCATCTGAGTTGTGGGTACTCCATCATTGGAGGCTTTTAAGAAGAGATTGGATATCCATTTGTCTGAAATGGTTTAGATTCTCCTGTTTAGGTAAGGGATTGGATGGGAAGACGTCCGGCGTCCCTTCCAACTCTATTATTCTCTTCTGTTATTCTGTTATTCTTTCTATGATCACATATATCCATCCCATCAAGCCCAAAGAAAGTCCATAATGGTATAGCATCTATTACCAAAGGCAGTGGTTGGACTGGAAGACTAAAAGATCTCCAAGTCCCTTCCAACCCTATTATTTTATGTTCTATGCCCTAAAATTTGCAAAATCAATATATTATAAAATCATCAAGCACATTTCAATGCCAATAGATAGCTAATTCTTTTTTTAATGCTTTTATTGCATTTTTTCTCTTTACACATCTTAAACATCTTTAAGAGTACTGAGGCAACTTTGTTACAAATACACATTTCCATACATTTCTAATTATTCATATACATTTCTATACCTTTTTCTTCTCTCTACAATTCTTATTCCTATTGTCTATCCATTCATACCATTTTCCCATACCGCATAATACTCCAAATTTTCTTTACCTTTTAATTCGTAAATTCACCCATAATTCACTCATAATCACCATGGGTGAAAGAAGGTACCTTGTCCCTGTTTGCATTTCCAACAGCTTGGGTTCAGATTTGGGTACATTTTTGCCAACCTTGTTGGGGCCAGATGCCAACGATAAAACATCTTACATTGATTTTCCTTATATGCAGAGGATTTTATTACTGTACAATTTTTATTCCAAATTCTTTCCCAATCTTCGAGCTCAATATTATGTCCAAAATTTTTGGCCCACGCAGATAGCTAATTCTTGTTGTCCCATTCCAAGGTGTTGCACCAAATTCTGATTGAAAAGGTACAAGCGACCATGAGGAGCACAATTTGGGAAGCGCAGCATAGCTTCGTGGCAGACAGATCAGATTTTGCTAATGAATGTGAGAAAATTGTTGAAGTGTGAGCAGACTTGCATTTGGAATGCATTGCACAAATATGGAATTCCAAGTTGATGGTTGAATAGGGTAAGAGTGGCATGAAAGCTAAGTAACTATGCATGAGAATAAACGGAATGCTTAAAGAATGGGAGTAAAGAGGGTAAGATAAGGATATGTGATGTCATTCATCCGAAAAGCAAATAAATGGCAAGGAAACTAATATCTGGAAAGGGAAAACAAATTATGATCACACTGTTCAGCCAGCTGCATGCTGCAGCCACAGACAAACCAACAAGTCAGAAAATAATTACCACAAAGAACAGTTGTTAAAAATATGAAATAAAGATACAGGTGGTAGAGAAAAGAAAAGCAGCCGAGGTTCAAATTATTAATATTTAAAATTAGCCCCCGATGCTCCATTCTCCATTTCATTTCCATAGTGGCCTTTTCTAGATATCTCCAGGGTATTTTAGTAGGATTGAAAAACCAAAAGGTACTTTTTCAAAAGGCAAACTATTTTTCATTGAAGGCATTTTGCTTCTCCTCCTCCGTCAGTTCTGACTGGATGGTGAGGAATGGAACTGAGGAAGCTTCTTGGACGAGAAGTAAAACATCTTCAAGGAAAAACAAAGAAAGTCCAGTTGCCTTTTGAAAAAGCATCTTTGGGGCAACCAAGACCTGGGTGACTCAGAATCTCTGTAGACAAAAAAGGAACCATTAATTTAATGTTTTTATACCCAAAAGTTAGCACTGTCTTTCTTTCTTTCTCTCTTTCTTTCTCTCCTTTTTCAGGAATTCTCATTCATGACACTTCAATTGTCCTGATAGTCATTTTGGTTAACTCACAGGATAAAAATGCTACAGGTAACATCCATCAAAACTAGCAACAACTGAAACATTTGACTAAGATTTGTTTATGTGGCGTGGTATAAAGGCAAATTGCTTAGAAAGCTAATCTGCGAAGACAAACAGGGTACTAATAGAATAAATCAGGTTTACGGAAAACAGATTTAACACCTGTATTTTGCAGGGAGAAATCAGTCCAGTCGGTCTAAAATATGACGTTGGGGAACCAGCTTCTAAGTTTGATTATCGCCGTCACAATCCAATCTGCAACACGCACAATGTGTTACCCAATCTTACCATTGAGACTGTGGTCTGTTCCCAACACGTTCCACTCAGTCGGCAGCTTCAGGTGACAAAACGCCAAAGTTACTTTCTCATCCAGAAAATCCAAGTCCCCGGCAGGTGGCCTGGAACGGTCCAGAAAACGTGTAAAGTTTAACGCTTGCTGATTTCCAGCACACGATGCCAGGAACTGTGCCGCATCGTAAACCTCATCTTGGACAAATTGCAAGCTCTCCTCCGCCACCACCAGAAGAGGGTGGCCTTGCTTGGTAGCACAGAGAGAGACTTTCACCGTCTCGCAACAGTCATGACCTGCGACGGAGAAACAAAAATTGACCTACGTTAAGACATTGACATTCTACTTTTTCCATATCCTTCCACCTCTGGCTACAGCATCTTCATTTATGACCATTGCCCGTATCGCCACGGGAACAAAACTCAGATGCTTGGCAACTGACTCACACTTATGACGGTTGCAGCATCCTGGTCTCATGTGACTCCCCTTTTGCAACCTTCTGCCAAGCAGAGTCAATAGGGAAGCCAGATTCACTTAACAGCCATGTTACTCATATAACAACTGCATGGTCAGGTTCAAAATCCAAGAAAGAAAACCTTAGACTCCATTTGTATAGAGAAAATTGAAGTGGTAGCAACAGGAGAAATACAAGATCTGAAGCAAAAGGTGCGGAAATCACATATAGAAAGTTATCCCAAGTCCCCACCCCCAACAATTCAAACTGGACATCCAATCTGAGGTGTGTATAATGTCATGTGGGTACATCTTCAGGTGGCGTCTCAGACATCTGGTATGCCAAGAAGGTTGACCTTGGCCTAGAAAAGATAATTGGTTGCATATGTGCAGTAAGCAAGAAAGCATCCCAACTTTTATAATTCACACAACTTAAACCTCTAGCACCCTTCCCCCTCACGAGGCCCAATTATTCCTCCCCACCCCTTTCTATGGCAGCCGGAAAGAGTCACGCTGAAGAAGGAATCTTGGAGGCTGACATGCAGTGATTCATGTAAACACTGGGGCAAGAAAGGTCTTCAAATGGAGGCAAAAATCACTTAAGAACTGTCTTGCTTAGCAACAGATGTTTTGGGGTCCATTGTCATTGTAAGTTGAGGACTACTTGATTTTACCTTTTTCCTAAGTTAGGGGGTAGGGATATGGGTTATCAGAACATTCAGACCTGGTCTAGCTATCAAAACCAGTCAAGATGAGGAATGCTACCCTTTCAAACATTTTACAATGTTAGTATTGTACTACTTCTCACAGCAAACCAAGCCAAAACGAGGATTATACAGAGCGTACAAACTCAAATTTCTCTTCCCTCTGAAGGTTTCCTATTTTCAAAACCACCATTGTTTTGTTGGTGGATCAAGGCCTCGCTTCTCCTCCTTTCTTGTACCCCGTTGCAGTCACCACCCTCCACACCCAAACTGGAGTGGCCATCATTAATTACTGAAAAAGCTACTCTGCCAACTACTTCGGTCCCTCGTTGCATGAATCAACATTCTCCCCTCTCCCACCTCCTTCCTCTCTATTTTTATTTACATCAATGAACTCAAATGACGTTTTCTTCTCCAGAAAACAGATTTGAACAATATGCAGCTGCTTGCAGGACATTGGCAGCTGGGGGAAATCCTTTTACAGTAACATGGCAAAAACAATCCATTCACTATTGAAGAGGAAAACCGAAGCAGGAATTGGAGCTCTTATATTCTCAGAATAAAGATAGCAACAATCTCTATACTTCGGATTACATAAGCAAAGAGGTAACTGGAATTAAGAATCCAAGTGGAAGGAGCCAAAAAGACCTATTTGTAGCTGCCCAACTTAATTCTGTTCAAAGATAAATGACAAGCAGATAGACGCCGTGGTCAAGAGACTAGGGCAAGGGTCTTCAAACTTGGTAAGTTTAAGACTTGTGAACTTCAACTCCCAGAATTCTGAGCTAACATGACTGGAGGAGGAATTCTGGGAGTTAAAGTCCACAAGTCTTAAAGCTGTCAAGTTTGAAGACCCCTGGACTAGGGTAATGAGAAAAGGATGATAAACAGTGGTGAGATTCAAATTGTTTTACTACCGGTTCTGTGGGCGTGGCTTGGTGGCTGTGGCAGGGGAAGGATACTGTAAAATCTCCAGTCAGAGGTGGTATTTGCCAGTTCTCTGAACTACTCAAAATTTCTGCTACCGATTCCCCAGAATTGGTCAGAACCTACTGAATACCACCTCTGATAATAAAGATATTATCACTGCCAACAACTGTTCAAATAGTTTGAACTAAAAGATGCTCTTCTCTCTCTTCTTCAGCCAACCATCCCAGTAACTCAGACAACCTATGCAAGTAGTAAAATAGGGCACAGATTTTATCTGTTATATTATTTAAAAAGCTACCCATACCACAGCCAAATCTGGGTGGCATACAAGGTTTAAAGCAACAACTATAACATATAAACCGTGATGTACAAGTTTAAAACAGTCAGCCTCAAATCACAGCAACCACATCAGCTCATCTAATCTCTTGGCCAAAATACTTCGGGAAACAGATCTTCAAAGTCTACTGAAAGCCTAACAGAACCAGGGTCATCCAGATTTCTGGACAGATGCTGTTCTGGATGGATGGATGGATATGAATAAAAATGAAAGTACATAGTTCTAGCTTTTAAAGTACTTTTAGCAACCTAGGCCAATTTCAAACAGTCTTTCAGGTAGTCCTCAATTTATGACCACAACTGAGACCAAAATTTCTGCTGTTAAGTAAATTGTTAAATGAATTTTGTCTCATTTTATGACTTTTTTTGCCACTATTGTTACAGTGGTGGTATTCTACCGCTTCAGCCTGGTTCAGCTGAACTGGTAGCTCCGATGATCATCTGTGAGTGAACCAGTTCGCTCCGATGAACAGCTGTTGGGCCCTCCCACTTTCCTTGGCTCTATACTAACCTTTATTTCCTGCTTTTCAACCTCAGCTGCTTCGTGTGGCACAACAGATTGCCACATGTCAGCTGTTGATTGCAGGATTGCAGGAGATTAGTAGCAAACACTCTGTGTGCACGCTAAGTGCACATTTGACGTGCACGCACACAAAGCACGCATGCGCGTGCAAAGCATACCCAGCAAACCATGCTCACAGAACCAGTGGTAAAAAACCCCACCACTGTGTTGTTAAGCTAATGACATGGTTGTTAAGTGAATCTGGCTTCCCCGTGGACTTTGCTTGTTAGAAGGTCACAAAAGGGGATCCCTTGATCCCAGGACACTACAAATGTCATAAATATGAGTCAGTTGCCAGGTGTTGGAATTTTGATCATGTGACCATGAGGGTGCAGCACCAATTGTAACTGTGAAAAATGGTCCTGTCACTTTTTTTCAGGGGTGTTGTAACTTTGAATGGTTGCTGAATGAATTGTTTTATGTCAAGGATTAACTAGGACTGAAAGCTAAACTGGAACCATGTGGCACTTTCATCTCCAAAATCCCAACACTTTTGAGAGTCGAAACAGCCACAGCCAAGCAAGGTGCGTCTGTTTTAGAATTTTAAATTTTAATTTTTTTAACTCCCTGCTTCGATAATCCTTCCCTAAGTGTCCTTCTCTGAGTGCTGTCTGATCATTTCTTAGACAGCATCTCTTCCCTCCTGTATCATTTACAACTGGGAAATTTGGAAAAAAATTAAGAGCATCAAGATATACAGTTTTCCAATGTTCCTGTTAATAAGAAAACCACCAGGGTATCTTGATGCTCTTAATGACTTCTTTATGCATGTCCAGACGTTCATCTAATAGAAAATGGCTGGGTTCGTGAATTAAAGCAGGGGTCTTCAAACTTGACAGCTTTAAGACTTGTGGACTTTAAACTCCTAGAATTCCTCCTCCAGTCATGTTAGCTCAGGAATTCCGGGAGTTGAAGTCCACAAGTCTTAAAACTTGCCAAGAGACCCTTGAGTTAAAAGATAAAGAAGTTTCTTTGGGTCTGGCTTAGCATGAATCCAGCATTTATGGTTTGTAGGTGACCTAGCCAACTGTAGTTTATTCACCAATCTTGGCTATGTATAAATCTGGGTATAACCTATGTAACAGAGTTGTGTCAAGAAGTCAGATAACCAAAAGGCCGAATTCTAAAACTCATACTTCCAGGACTGAGAAGAGTCACGCTTGGGATGAATTTTGGGAAATGCAGTTCCTTCACAGCTGGAAAGCATCAGGATGAGGAACATTGGACCATTAAGTAAGGAGAAGTAGCTAGGAATCTGGGCTGAACTAAGCAACATTAAAAGTGTTGCAGCTCTTAAGAGATGAAACCAAGGTGACAAATAAGGCTTAATCAGATCAAATATCCAGCTGCAGAGAGCAGTGTGTTTGCTTCCTTTCTTGTTCTTTGATGTTGTTCTTTTCCCCTGCCACTGACATGGTTTCCTTCTGCCCAGAATTAGACGTTGACTTTGTCAATTAATTCAAAAGCAAGAAGAGCTATTCCTCAAAGAACACAGTGAAGATCTAAATTGCTTCAGGACTTCCAGAACCCATTCCATTAAAAAGAGAAAAGATCTGTGCTTTGCAGTATCTGTTTCATATTGCCTCTAAGGCTGAACGACAGAAATCAAATTGCTAAAAGAGGCAATTCGGTATTATGGATTTGTAAAGGAAGAAGGCAGGAGAATAACAAGATTAAACACACGCACAGCCAGACACAAGCTGGAGCCTAAAACATAGATTTCATCTGCCACGCTAGGAGATAAATCATATAGTCCTAGGATCAGCGAAAGAAACAGTATATAACAGAATTTGTAACTAATCTCATAAGGGACTATCTTAGCAATGCATCACTAAATAAAATATTATACACAGAGGGGAAAAAATACCTACAATGCATTGTACTACATTGTACTGAAAAACTAATGTAGGCTATTCACACAAGTATTCCCCCAACCCTGAGTGCAAAGATCTATGTATAACATATGGATATTGTATTCATTCATTGATTCATTCATTTATAAAATACACAAATAAAACTTTGCAAATAATTTTACCAAATCACCTACATTCTCATACTCTTTCATAATCTTGGAAGTTTTAAAGAAGAGATTGGATAACCATTTGTCTGAAATGGTATAGGGTTTCCTGCCTAAGCAGGGGGTTGGACTAGAAGACCTCCAAGGTCCCTTCCAACTCTGTTATTCTTTTATTTCCATTTCTTTCCTAGAAAAATATTCAAAGCTGCTCTCACTAGGATTACACGCTGAAACAGATAAACAAGCAAGTAGCAGTGAGAGTCACCTTCAAATGCTTTCTTCGATATACATTGT